TAACATCTAAGAAGCTTCTCCAGCACTCCGCTGCTGAGAGGAAGCCTTCTCCATTCTCAAACCAGTGGGAATGTACTTGATGTCCAGTTACCTGGAAGCCCCGCTCCCACACCCACACTTCCTAGCTTTCCACACTTCCCAGACCTGCTGCTCTGGTCATTTGTGAGGAGCCAGGCTTGAGTCTGGGACCGGCCAGCCTCACACGGGAGATAATTGGCCTGGAGCTGTGCCTGTCTTGAGATCAGCAACATTGGCACCAGACCCCAGTAACTCCCCTGTATCTGGGGTCAAGCATGCACAGAGCCCCAGGCATCACCGAGTCCTGCAAGCTTGCCTACTCCAGTCCTGTAGCCAAGGGGAGCACAAATCCCAGTGCCTGTGACGTCTTGCAGCTCTAAGAGGTTCTGACCAGTGTAGAACAGACGGAAAGGGGCCAGGTGGATGGTCACATGGTCTCTAGTGCAGTGAGTAGAGACTTTTTCTCTGCAGATTCTAAAGGCAAGGCTTTTGGGTTACAAATGGTTACAGAGGCTTTCCGCTGGGCTGCGGGTGGGTCCACAGGGCAGAGGTGGGTGGGGGACAGCTTGTGTGCACCGTGGCCACAGGCACTATCCTGAGGCTCTTAAACTGTGTGTGTGCTTCTGCTTGCTCTGATAGAGCCTCGTCTGGGTGAGGCACTCCCAGCTCAGCAGGACATAGCCTACATTCACTATCACAGGCTCAGTCCCAGACTGAGTTTTCCCAGCTGGTGACAAAAGGGACAAATGAGCCCAGGCGAGCCGCGTTGTCCTCCTGGCCCAGGCCACATGAGGTGGCAGGAGTTAGTGGAGGGGCATCTCCTAAAGCCCAGCCCCAACACTCTACACAGGAGTAACCTGCCCGCCTTTCCAAGAAAAGAATTTAGGCTCCTCTGGCTGCTCTCCTGGTGATCAGCATTTGCAAGTGTGAGTTCCAGGGAGAAGGGTTCAATCTGGAATCTTACATAGGGAGATTAGGGGTACCCTGAACTAGGTTTATAGATCATATCACCTTTTCCAGAGTGTTTGTGAGAAACAGCCATGTCCCACACCTAACTACAGCAGTTTAAACCAGGTCTGTCCTAAGAAATAAGGGAGGAACCTTCCCAACCCTAGAAAAATGCTGTGCATCCGAATTCCGGCTGGCAACCTTGTGAATCAGTGAGGTCCTGTCCCAAGAATGTAAAACAGGCTAGGGTTACATTCAGTGCAAGGGCCCTATGCTGAATACCCATCCAGGAGGGAAGGGAGGGAAGCACTGCAGGTAAGAACTTGCAAACATGGTGAAAAATTATTTTGTCTGAATTGTAGCGGTAAAGGTTTTATACCTGGAAAGAAATTTCCATTTACCCATGTTATTATATCCTACCTGTGCGATGTGTAAAGCAGACAGCCTGAGTGGACTGGTGATATGAACACCCAGTACTTTAGAAAACACACTAATACTGCAGCTCTCTCCCATTCCACTGCCCAAGTCTGGCTCTGAACTAGGAAATGTACTTCTTCACCAGCAGTGGAGGACAGACTTGATTTCCTGTCATCCAACCTTGCATTAGGCAAATGGTGTTTTTCATGTTAGCTATTCAAGTAGGCTTGGGCTATAAAGCATCGTGGTTTTTAATTGCATTTCATTAATGGGTTTTAGCTGTTTATCTTTAATGGCTAATTATGGTGAATTTCACATTTTTTAAGGGTTTCACTCGGTCACTAAATCGCCAAACTGAGCTGAAGCTTCTCATTTTCCTGCCTCAGTCTCTCCTCAGGATAATCCAATCTCAGGGCTGCCCCACCACACTCACCCTCAACATTTTCATTTCCCTATTTAGTAACTTGTCGTTCATTTCTTTTGTCTCTTTTCTAACAATGTATTTTTTATTTTAAGTTTGGGGGAACTTTATAAAACACATTGTATACATTTCTACTTTCAAGGACAAGTTCTGCATATAGTTTGTCCAGTTCATGGAGCTGGCTCACCCAGAGCTCTAAGGGAGAGGAGCAGCCTCCTGCAGAATTCTTCCCAGGTCTCCACCCGTCCCTGGATGGTGTTGACTCCAAGCCCTGGGAGGGAGGCATGGTTCCTCCGGATTCTGCGGAGCTCCTGAGGAAGAAGACTCTATGAGGGATGTTGAGCACTTAGCCCTGGATGAGCCACATTCCAATCCCTTGGATCTCATAAAGCCCTTGCAGAGGAGAAGCAAGGGCTAAGAGAGTGCAAGATCTCAGCTACCACCAAGGAGAGAGCCAGCAGGGAGGACTGGGTCACAACAGCCCTGGGAAGGAGAGTCTGAGGTCTATGCAGGACTCAGACCTCAGACCTGCACATGAAGGTAAAGAGTAGTCCCAAGGCCCTCCTGAAGCTGATCCAGGGCCTGTGGCAATGTAGTACTCCACAAATCCTCGGTATGGGCCAAGGTTGCTAGGATGCAGTGCCTGAGCACAGTGTTGGCGATGCTCTGGGTCACACTCGAGAGCTGAATGAAAGTGGTGCAGACGGTGGCATGTCGGGACTCCTTGGGTTTTTTCTCATGTTGCATCCAGGTTGAATCCTGCAATGTGGAGAGTACCATTTTTAGAAATAGTACTGGGCCCTGACTAAGACCACAGAATCCCAAGCAAGGACAGAGACCAAGGATTAGGTCTGTAGCTCATGAAGTAGGACTGTGGCCCAAGCCTAATGGGAAATTCTGGTTTGGTTTCCCTGCCATTGAGGACGTCTTACAAAAGACTGACACTGTTGTATACAAGATGAAGCTAGCAATTGAACAGATGACCCTGAACAGCAGTTCTTGATGGCAGATGCCTTTCCTTCTGTGCACAGCCACTTCCCATATCCCTCAATGTGACCCACAACAAGGTCAGAGGAGACCACCACCGTGTGAGACTTTCCTCCATTCACCCTGCATTTCCTGGTCATGGATTCAGTCCAGACTGGCACCATTGGTACAAGTAGCCCTGCTCTGGCTGGCTCCACCTCCACATTCACACATGTAGTTGCTTTCTTCTTTATAAATATAGACCGAGGTGGCTTTATGGGTATAGTGGCACTGGAGCTATTAGCAAAGCTAACTCTCACTCCAGCATGGGTTGTGGATCTGCCTCTGGTTTGGAAGCTGCTGCTGGAGCTGATTCTCACTCTCCACTTGACCTGGATCTGGTGGTGGTGCCAGAGAAAAGGTGGCCAAAATCAGTGACTTGCTCTGAAACATTCTCTGCCTACCCAAAAATCATCCAACCCTGATTTCAAAACAGAAGATCTGCTCACATGTTTCACTGCCTGACAGGCCTGAGGCTCATGTTTGGGCCTCGCCTGTCCCATTGAGGAGTCTACTCCTGCTGGATAGATCACACTCTCCTCTTGTACTCTGGAGAACCCAGCCCAGCCCTCCTCACACTCAGTCATGGCTCTCTTGGTCTCCTTGTCTTCCAGCTGCATCAATAGAAGGTACACACGGTGCTCCAAGTCTGAGCCAGGCATGTGCACTTGCACATACTCCAGAAGCTGCTTGAGGCATGCGAACTTTGGTGGCTGATTGAACTGGTCTGCGTAGTTTTCAAGCCACATGCCAAAGATGGTAGAGATGGCACTGAGGGCAGATGGGTGGGCAGTGTCAGGAAACTCAACCACACTACAGGACGCCTCCACTAGAAGGAGCCGTAGATCAACTACTTTTCTTCAGAGAAGCCCACATGCACTGCTCTGTGGAATGTGGGGTTCCCCTCTTCACTGGAAGGTAAGCTCTTCAGTGGTTTCTCCCACCCACCATGGCTCTGCTCACGCCTCAACCTGTGATCAATGCTAGCAGGCTGCTTCTATCTCTAAGGCACCTATAGGTCTTCTCCCTCCAACCACACTCCTACTGAGGGGTGCAGCCAACCCCTACATTTACCAAGTTGCCTAGAAGCTACTGCCAAAGTAGCAAGGCCAGGTATGAGCATGCTGCTCCCAAAACATCCACTGTGCCCTAGTGAGGGTTTGGGTGGGCACACATGGTTGGAATGGGCTCTGGTGGGGATGGATCTTCACAGGACTTGGCATAAAACCCTGAGCTCCCCTCTGTTCCCTGATCTAGGACACCACCAACTGTTCTTATTTTCTCTTCCTTCAGAAGAATCCCCTGACCTCAGCCCTTCAGGAAGAAAGCCAAGTACAGGAGCTGATGTTTGCCCAGCTCTGTATCACAGATCCACATTTTCCCGCTGTGGACACAGGAGCTTCCTCTTGAACTCACTTTTTCAGTTGATCCACATCCAGAGACCTGCCACTCTTGCTGGAGTGATGGAGGCTTTGACCATACACAGAGGCCATCAGACTAACACATCTGTAGTCAGCAAAATAAAATTCTACTTTAGGTGTGAGCATAGTTATTTAGGGACAACAGGCTTCTCCAGACTTTCTCAAGATGAAGACTTAACTGCCACCCCCCTCTTCTCCATAGCACAGACAAAAGGAGAGAACACACAGATACTGCCCCAGAAGTTCAGGCCCCATTTCATTTCCAGAAAGGAGGAGGAGATAGGAGGTATCTAGGAGCCAGGAAGCAAGCCTGAAGAGTTGTCCTCTTTTTTTTGGTACCCTCTCCCCTCTCTACCTTCCAATGAAAGACCTTGCATACCTAGACATTGTAACTTGATGATTTGAGGCCAAGACAGCACCTCCATTCCATTTGAGATTTGAAGAAAGCCCCTCTCTTTTTCCTAAAAGTAAATGGCTTCCTTTGGTTAGGGATGAGTGAGCCCATAGACCTGAGAGGCTGGTAACGAACCAACCTTAAGGTCTAATGGCTTTTGTCTTCTTGTGTCTCTACACTAACACAGAAATAAAGTCTAAGAGAGAAGGCAATTTCCTTAGCTCTGAATTGGCTAGTTACCTAGGAACATGCCTATAAATGATGATGGAGTCATATCTGTTTGTGCCATGGGTGAACAAAACCATCCTCTTCTCAGACATTTCCTCGGGTCCCAGCCCCTTCAGTATACCCTCAGGCTTTCCTTTCTGCCTGCATCCAAGGCAGGAGGCTCCCAGGTGGAGTCCTGAGCCTCCCCGACAGATGGTGAATGTGCTCCGCAGCTTCATGTAAGGGAGGACCAAAACAGAGGGCTTCTGTGTGTTAAGGAAAGGGGACTGTAACACCCAAGGGAAGCATGATACTGGGTAACTCATGCATACAACAAGCCCAGAATAGGCATTCTCAGGCTCCTTTGGTCCTGACCACAGTGTACAGGTCCTTCTATGAACACCTCAGTTTCCACACAAAAAACTGGATCATTGAGTGATTCCAGATGGTGCCGAGTTCCCCTTGTCTACCAGATGGTGCACAAACCTTTGCAATAGCAGATCCGGCACCTGCTGCATGGTGCCAAATGTTCGGTAAGTTGTAAAAAAACTTGTGGAGGAATAAGTGATTCCCGTTATGTGCAGATGGCACAAGAGAGTTGACCATAGTCTCCCTTACATCAGTCTCCAGAAGTTCAAGGCAAGTTCGACTATCCACAGTGTGACCTGGCTCCTTTTCACCCTGGAGTGGGACCATGGAAACATTAGATGTATTAGTCACATATCTGTCTGTGGGACCAGGACTCTACACAAAATTAGGGGAGGAGAGGCTTACTTGGGTCACAGTTTTAGAGAGTTTATGCCATGGTTGGCTGGACCCAAGGCAGAAATGCCAAGATCCAGGGGAATGGCAGAGGAAAGTGGCTCCCCAAGCAACCAGAAAGCAGAAAGAAAAAGAACAGCGGAGACTGGGGTAAAATATACCCTCCAGAGTCATAGCTACAGTGACCCTCCTCCTCCACTTCAGCCCCGATTCCTAAGAACACATTCAGCGATGGCATCGTAGTGCATTGTTCCATCGATGAATATGTCTCCAACACAATCTCATCACCTCCAAAGGCCTCAATTCTAGATTCCTGAGACATGTGGGATCATTTTACATTTAAACCACACCCTAAAAATGGTCAAATGACTCTGCCACATGATAAGAGAACATGGCAGATTTTGTGTTGACCCTCATTGATGTGCACGGACACACACACACACACACACACACACACACACACACACACACGGAGGGTTTGGATTCACACAGGGAAATCAGAGCAGTGTGCTGGCCTTTGCTAACCGGTCCTGGGCTACTGTGTGCCCCACATTGACTCCTCTGAGAAAAAGGCCACAGGCAGCGGATTAGTCAGGCACACCAGTTTCTCCAGTTGTGGCTGAGTCCTCCTCTGGGAGGTCTCCTAGGGCCTGAGGCTTGGGAAGTCCGGAAGAAACAACAAAACATCTTCACATGTCCTATGTCTCCAGACAAGTGAGCAGGCATCAGTTAGTTCTGTTATGTGCTGCTTAGCAACAGGTTTCCAAGCACTACCTCATCATTAAGGAAGTGAGGTCATCAACTGAGGTCTCCTTAACTGAACTTTTCCTCATACTGGACTTCAAACAGCCTTGGGGATGCTGGCTGCCCACGACCCACACCAGTACACAACCAGAACAACACAGTGACATAAAAGCACTTGACCCACCCTCCCCAAGTAGGCCAGGGCTTAGCTATCACCCAAAGAAACATATAGACCCTGCCAAGATTACTCAGGATTAGCTTTAGATGTTAGGGTTTAGGACTAGATATTAGGGTTAAGCTTTATTGTGAGGGTCGGAGTTTGATTTACACGTTAGAGTCAGAATGAGGGTTTAGGATTCCCAGTCAGGGTTTAAGGTAAAGGCTCCATGTTCCATGAAAGATTATGACTTAAGGATATGAGTAGGGGTTAGGTCCTGGTGTAGAGCTACTGTGTTATGATTATAGTTAGGTTTGGATTAGAGTTAGATTTATGTGTTATTGTTTGAGTCATTGAGATGACTACATCATGCTTCATTGCTAGGGCTTTGGTTAAAATAGGGCTAGAGTTAGAAGTTAAGAGTTTTGCTGGCAGCGTTTGGTTACCTTTAAATGTTAGAGCTATGGGTTAGGGTTAGAATTACTTTCATTGCTATATTAGTAGTAAGATGAGAAGTTTGACAAAATTTTGAAATGTACAAGATTTTTGGCTTCCAATAATTCTTAATGATTTCTACCATTTAAATCCCCCCATATACCTTCAAATATAT